ATCTTTACAATTGCCATCTTGAATGCTAACAAAACCAGAACCAGTTGTGACTCAGTCACTGCCCTAGTCAATTGGAGAATACAAAAATGGCATGCTTCTTCTAACATCCCTTGAAAGCAGCCACTGAAAATGGGGTGGGAAAGTTGAACTGCTTCAGATTTCAACTGTACCCGACCTGATCCGGATCTGTACAAACCCTTGCATGTGGGCGGGCACCAGACTCACAGCACCTTGGCTTCCCACCTGTTCTGCCTTTCCTTACCTACCCCAGGTAAAACGCCCTAGGAGCTGATGATGTCAGCACGTACAGGGCTGGGTGTGCATTTTGCTGCTCATTCTCTGTACACCTCACAGGCACATCCAGGAGACTTACGAAAGCAGACAGAACTTTATAACTTTTGTAAATACCTATAAACGCCAAGATCTTGTGTTCACAAACAGTTCACAGGAAGTGTGTTAAAATGCCAAGAGGGACCGAAGACAAGGCACTTAAGCAGCTGAAAAGCTTTTAAAGCCCGATGGTAAGGTTCATTGTTCATTGTCAACTATCTTTATCTAATTAGTATTGTTACTATTTAGTGAATCCCTGGCTCTTATTATGTAACAGGAGTCACTTGTGCAGCATATAGTTAATGAATTCTTGAAAATAAACTTTTGCTCAGGAAATCACTGAACTCTATCTCTAAGAGCTGATCTTTTTAGTCATATTTCCTTTAGATGCTTGTAACTTTTTTCCTTAGAGACTTAAGGCCTCAAGGGGCTTTTATACCAGCAATTATTGTGTTCAGATGGGGAGCGAGCCAACAGACATATCCATATGTATGGTTGATCACACAGTCAGCCAGATGTTTAGACTGGATTTCGCAGTTTTACCCACCTATCAAGTTCTTCCCAAGGACCTGGGATAGTCAGAAGTTTGTTTGATGGTGTTACAGGTATCATGGCAGGATATAAACTGTTTTGCAATTGACTGGTGGTGATTTTGTCAATTGGTGTTGAAGTGATGCTGCAGATGTTTTGGGACTGCATCCAAGGCACCTATTATTGTTATTGCTATTGCTATTGCTATTGCTATTGCTGTTGTTATTGTTATTGTTGTTATTATTATTACTAATTTTGCTTTCTTATGACTATATTAGATTTAGTGCAGCCATACTCTTCAATGGATTCTGGGCAGCTTACAAAATGTAATACTAAATTAGATCAGTTAAAATAATAAACACAGACATACAACCAAAACATCCTGGAACAAAAGCATTAAAACAAACGATGACAGACAAATATACACATCAGTGGTAGGTTTCAAAATTTTTTACTACCAGTTCTGTGGGCGTGGCTTGGTGGGCATGGCTTGGTGGGCGTGGCAGGGGAAGGATACTGTAAAATCTCCATTCCCACCCCACTCCAGGGGAAGGATACTGTGAAATCTCCATTCCCACCCCACTCCAGGGGAAGGTTACTGCAAAATCCCCATTTCCTCCCGATCAGCTGGGACTCGGGAGGCAGAGACTAGATGGGAGCGGGGCCAGTCAGAGGTGGCATTTACCGGTACTCCGAACTACTCAAAATTTCCACTACCGGTTCTCCAGAATTGGTCAGAACTTGCTGAATACCACCTCTGATACACATGAAACACATTAGACTGAGATCAAAGTAGGTTTTTACTGTTTCTCAGAACCCCAGGAGAAAGAGTGCCATCCATCTCTCTGGGGAATGCTGTTCCAGAAGGTGAGAACCTAGACAGAAAGGCAGATCCATAAGATGACCCTGTTTAATAGAAGGGACCCAACGCTCACCAACTCTGCCTGAATGTACAGAGTGGACAGAAACAATGAGGGAAAGGTGTACCTCCAGATAATGGAAGGCTGCCTGAACTAAAAATTAATCATGTTTGAAAAGAATGTGACCTTTTTGCAGGCATGCTCAGCAAATAACTTTTTCTAATGATCTGGATGGATGATATAGTTAAATACTCAGTCTAATGAAGTACATCTACCCCATGCAAACAGGTGCATGGAAGTTCCATAGCATGCTATGGTGACCTAAAATAATGATGTGACAAAGATTAGGAGCATATCAAAATATGAATGAAGTGACGTTACCAAGGGTCGGGAAGTGTACTTCTAAGATTGAGAACTGCTGAAGAAGTAGACCTATCTTCTACATTGTAACAATATTGCAGGACAAAACTAAAGAAAACAAGTTGGTCAGATTCCCATAGGAGACAAAAAGAAACTCTAAATGTCCGAAGGTTGTGTGTAGAACAGTGGTGGGATTCAAAATTTTTTACTACCAGTTCTTTGGGCGTGGCTTGGTGGGCATGGCATGGCTTGGTGGGCGTGGCTTGGTGGGTGTGGCAGGGGAAGAATACTGTAAAATCTCCATTTCCTCCCCACTCCAGGGGAAGGTTACTGCAAAATCCCCATTTCCTCCCAATCAGCTGGGACTTGGGAGGCAGAGAATAGATGGGGGCAGGGCCTGTCAGAATTTTTATTACCGGTTCTCCAAACTACTCAAAATTTCTGCTACCAGTTCTCCAGAACTGGTCAGAACCTGCTGAATACCACCTCTGGTGTAGAGTATAAAAGATTTTCCATTCCATAGTTTTCTTCTTTTCACCTATTATTATTTCTACTATTTTTTCATACTGGGAAATTTTTAGTCTTAGATTTTTCAAGAATCAGAGTGCCACAACACAACTTCAGTAGCTGTTTAGTAATTTAGATAACCTTTCTATTTACATCGGTTGAGAAAATTGTGTTGATCAGCACTGTGAATAACTAATTAGTCACACTAGCACTAGAAAATATATTAAAACAACAATTGTACTCAAAGTTTGATTAAACAAGCCTGTGCAATTTTTGTATAGTACCATATACTGTTGCCTCCTATAGAGATTGTTCCCATTTGAACACAATCCTGAGAGAGAGGGAATATCTATATTTTCTCCTTCCCAAGAACAGTGGAAAATCCAGACAGTCATCAGCAAGGAACACAATGGACAGTGAAGATTATACTTTGGGAATTTTTTCTTTTGAAATTGAGATTAATTTTAGGATTCAGAGATATTGGAGGTTTTGAATTTTGAGGAAATTCTGAGAAGAACATTTGAGCTTTTGTGTTGACAGGATGATTCAGAGTATGTATATTAGATTTTGGTGTGGGGAAAATATCCACACATTTCAAGAAGGTTATGGTGCTGTAAGCAAGGTGAACATGGCAGTGGTTCAGGAGGAGAACATCTCATCAGTCAGTTTCTAAAACTTTTTTAGTGATTCATGAAACTGTGGGAATTAATTCTTGGGCAAGAGAAGCTGTTGAATCTTCTGATCAAGTTGGCTCCATGAATGATATCCTTGAGAAGTAAAAAGACTCACATCACCCAAAACCACTTCAAATCCAAGGTGGAGCAATTTGATTGGTGGCATAAGCTTTGGACTGTATTAAGGAGCTTCACATAATTAAGAAAGCCACTGTTGAGAAGAAACAGAAATTCAAGAATATGGGGTCACTTGCAAGGAGATTGAATTGTGACTTGCAACAAGGTATATCATGTAACCTCCACATAGTGGGGCAACTGAAGCAGATTTTATTTTTCATAATAGATCTGGGGAAAACTAACTCAGCACCTTCAACTGAAAAGAGTTAGGGAAGACCAATAGCCTTCAACTGTTGAAAGCTGGGGTTATTTACAAGCCAAAAGAAACAGAAACAGCCATAGGAATCTGCATAGAGCAGAACAAAGATATTAATCTTTTTTTTTCCACTTTCCCTCACCTCGCCTCTGTCTTATTGACTTTGTGGGATATTCTTATTACAGGTTGATATGGATAAATAGTAATCAGCTGCAGCATATCTCTCTCTCTTGATTAATCAATGTTTTTGTACCACTGCTAATATTGATGGATGGGATTTGGGTTATGTGGTTAGTTGTTCAGTTTTGAAGTCCCCCAGGTTATACCAACTTTTTCCCCAACCACAATGAGAATGAATTTGACCTTGCACAACAAGCTTCTGCTTCTCTCTGAATCCACAAGCACTGGAACATCTTGTAGAACAGAAAAATGAAGCATGAATCAAAGTGCAACAAGACCATTCAGACTTTTGGCACTTTCCCATGAAACAGCAACTATAGATCAATACCATTTGTAGGATTCTCTTTTACAATTTAGCCCTACTGCTGAGGAAGTCCTACTGCTGAGGAAGTCAGCGCATACAACTGATGATTCATCCAATTGTGATAATAGTGGGAATACAAGTAATTGCACTATGAGTTACTGTTGGAGTATATAGGGGACATAAACTCTGGCCAATAAAACAATCCAGAAAAATGTACTATGTTGTTGTTATGAATATGCAGAAAACAGAAAATTGTTGGTCTCATAATAGTGATGTGGGGAATGTTTGTGACTACCATGACTACCATAGAATATTCTATGCAACATGTAAAGTGTATAAGTCATTGATCCTTGGAAGATAAATTATTGTGCAATATCACAGCTGTGTTTGACACTTTTAGGTATTCAGAACAGAAGAGTTGGCGGAACTATCAGAAGGCCATTTTTGACATAGAGAAATCAAAGGCCAGCAGAACCAGAGAGGCTTCCTCTTTGAATTGAATGGAATTTAAGTTCTCTGAAAGTTTGCACAGCAAATGAACTTTTTTATGGATCATATTGGATATAGAGCTTAGTGAACGATATGATGAATCCAGTCTGCACAGTCCATCTGAATGTATAGATCCGAAGTCCCCTTCCAACATTGGATGGTTGAAAGAAGTAATTAACTAATGGCTACTGTTCAAGAAAAATTGAATTAAAGCTACGGTGATTAATGAAACTTTATGCAATAATAAACCGTTTAGTTTCATGAGATACTTTGTTATTTTGGTGCTTCTCTAAGTATAAAACTGTGACAGAAACAGCCGTTCTGAAATCAGCGCATTCAAAATAAGACAGTCATGGCAGGTGAGTTCAGGAAGACAAATAAAAACTGCAAGGCCAGAAATATGATTTTATTCATAGCAAATCAGCAGCAGCTGCATGAGAAACAAATATATTCTTTATGGAGCAAGAGAAACAGATCCACTTCACAATAGCAGCAGCAATAGCAGCAGTAATATTGGCACCTGTTCTTTCAAGCTGTATGGTGAATACACACACAAGTACCATGAAATATGGTACCAAGCAAGACAAAAAAGGAAGCATCTCTTCATTGTCTTTTTGAGTCTCACTCTCAACAGGAAGAAATTCAACCAGTGACTTTCCTCACCAGGAAGAATGTTAACTACTTTTGCCATCTCTTCAGGACATTTCAAGGCATCCTTGTTCCATATAGCTTCATAGAATATATAGACCATATTCAGACATATTCGTTTTCAGATTTGTGGATTGTATCTGCTATCATCATCAGTCACTATTGCAATTGTTAGCTTAAGGTTTTATGAATTATCCAAGAAATTTCATAGTTATCTATGATAACTATGCTTATCTATCGTAAGCAAAAAAAAAAAAAAACACATTTTGAGATTTTGTGAAATCATAGCATGCATTCAACCAATATGGTGCTGTAAATGCCATAGAATGTTTATGAGACCTGAATTATGTTGCAAGTACCACAATACATCCAAGTCATTGCAGTTAATGAAGGCTTCAACTGATTTGAATAGTTAGCCACTGAGAATTTCTTTAAGCTAAGTGTATGCATTCCTAACAAGGTTACTATAAATGATTCCCTGTTCGTGTTGAATGGATATTTTTAATAAATTTTCTTGTCTGCAAAATGAAAACAAAAATCCTACACATACATGGTTACATTTTCTTTCTTTTTCAAAAAAATATGATGACTGTTTAGTTTCTCAAGTGACCCAGCTTCTATTTTTTCATCCACTCTAATAGACAGAACTTTAGAACAGGAAGTGTCTTAGAATGAAAAGCTTTATGCCTTGATAGTGCTAAGACATACCTGGGCATTTCTTGCTCCCTTAGCAGAATGCTATCAGTGCCTTTCAGCACTATTAAAGTCTGTATAGGGCAGTGGTAGCGAACCTATGGCACATGTGCCAGATGTGGCACGCACTTCCCTCTCTGTGGTCATGCGTGCCATCGCCCTAGCTCTGTTTCAGGTTTCTGCCGCACATGCATGCACACCTTCCACTGGCCAGCTGGTCTTCGGGTCTCTGTTGTACATGCGCGGGGTGTGGGTGGATACATGGGTTGTGCACACATGTGTGGGGCACACGCACCTTGCAGTTTTGGTGGGGTGTGGGCGCATGCACAGGGTGCGGGTGCATGCATGGGTGCATGCACCTGCATGGGGATGCACACATGTGCAGGGCGCATGTGCATGCACCCGCGCCTTGCAGTTTGGGCACTCGGTGCCTAAAAGGTTCGCCATCACTGGTATAGGGTGACAGAAGGCTTATAAAGTACTGGAACAATATCATACTTAAATGTTGAGATGCTCATTCAGGCCTGAGACTGGAAACTGGCTGGCCAATATTTACAATCAAGTTACAGTTTCAATAAAGTGTGCTCAAGTTTCTGAATTGTTCAGATTCTTTTTGTTATGTTGTTGTTCAGGTGAAGGGCACAAGGAGCAAGGAGAAGAAGCAGAAATGTCCTAAAATTAGACTAGGCATTGTAACCCTGAAGTCAACAGTCTAAGAATTAAGCAGAACAGGGAAAGTACAGACTATATGTGTTAGTCATCACACCACTGTGGTGCTCTTTGGTTCTTCTCTCACTTTAGGTAGGCCTGCTGAGGTCAGAACCAGGAGCCATTTGGGCCCTTTAAAACCATTCAAGCAATCAAGTGCTGGTTTTTAGACAGAAGTGCAAGCCATATTGATACACACACAAAAAATGACAAAACGTGCAACGTGACATCTCGATTCAAAGCCCTGCTGCAAGTACAGAAGTCAAAGACCTTGTGCCAAGATATCATGCCACACATTTCATCACTTACCTTCATCCTCAGAGGAGGAAAAGAAATCAGAAGAACAAGATCAGCACTTTTAATATCCATTAGCCATTTCCTGCTATTCATTCTACCCAACACAGCACTCTAGGTTTGTGGACAGACGGTTGCTGCCAAGGGTCTAAGAGTTCAGAAGACTTCGTTCTCAATTCTGTGGATTCTTCTGCCTTTAGCAGAAATCACTTATTCCATATAGGCTTCCCAAGGGGCTTCCTTCCTACTGTAAGTGGCACTAATGGGAACAGACCTGAACCTGGACTTGATTCTAATCCACGCTCCCTATTTTCCAAGTAGTACCTATCTGATAACACAGTATGATGGGCTGTAGAGTGAAAAGTGCTGCTGGTGACATGGTAGCATTAGCAGCATTGCAGATGTGATTCTGGTCTGGGTCAGCTCAGTTTGTTGATAGGAGTTGGACCTCATTTTGATTTGAGAAGCCGGTGCTTCTCTTTATCGCATGCTTGGCAAGAGATTCCACCGAGTTTCATAGGGCCACAAAACAAGTCTACCGACAACTGTAGCCAATGTTCATTAGTCAAAACTTTGCTCATCCTGGAAGAATTTTTCCCAGATGGAAAGATTAGAGATGATGAGAAAGATGTTCCAGTCAGATGAGAAAAGTTCATTGGGCCTTGTTCTGAGTCATCCCTTGGAATTCTTCAGAACTCCTGTTACCAGTACAATCTTAGTGTGGGGCAGTCCCCTAAGGCTTGTACCTGTCTGAAACCATTTAAGCAAAAGGGCTGAGAGAATTCTGATCATAACAAAGAATTACTAATGGAATGTTTGGTCTTTCTGGGAAAAACAAAGTCATAGAAGATGTTGCAAAATTACAAAGGGAGGAGACAAAAACATGAAGAATATAATAAACTAGTAAATTGACCAAGTTCTTTAATGGAAGCCTTCCTCAGAGATGCAAAAATTAAAACTTCTCTCTGCCTCTTTTGATTTGGGTGTTTTGTTCTTCTCATTTCCAAGGGGGCAGAATTGAGCAGAACTGAGTTTCAGAAAGTGGAGTTAAACTGTTTTGAACCTGGTAGTGTAAGGAACTATTTGGTCTCTTCTGTGCTTGTCTCTCATATTTTAAATAATTTTAAAAATATAATTTGGGGGAACAATTAATGTTTTGGGAACACATTGCTTTTCTTTCTCTTTAAAGGGGAATTTACAGTGTGCTGTGCAATTATTTCCTATAGCATCTGTTCCAATCCAGACCCCTTGCTATTAATAAAAAAAAAAAATACCCAAGGGATTCAGGATTAAGCTCCTAAGATTCATTTACTTTCCTTTCTTCAACCAAGCTTGTCACTAAAATGCCTGCATATCATGGCATGTGGGGCACAATTCACACCATAGGTATTATTGTGGCATGAGAAAGCAACACAAAACCCTAAAAGAAATCATAGTGACATTGTTGGCCCAAACAGTGCAGTGAATAGTAGCCATGGCAGGAAACCAAGTTTGCAGGTACAGTAAAAGACATTGGCTTGGAGGGGGGGGAAAGGCTTGTGTCCAAATCTTGTGTTAGCTGATAATATTGAGCGCATCAATTAATGAGTGGAGCTCATCACGCACATTTGCCAGGGAGTGGCAGATCTTCTGTGGGTGGTCCAAGAGCTCAATACTGTAGGTGTAAGGATCATATTTCACAGAAAAAGGTCGCTTGATATGTGCTGCGTAGACCCTGAAAAGAAGAGGACAGACATCAAAGATGGTAACATAGGTGGGCTCCTGAAAATGTTAAGAGATAAGGAAGCAAAGAAAGGCATATTGTGTGTAAACCAGCTCTCCTTAGCCTGGACCTTGGAGAACAACATGACCATTGATTGTCTAGGAATATGGCAGCTCTGTTTGATGTTCTCTAGGATTATGGGAATTAATCTGGCAGCAGAGGGTTAATATTGTCAAGAATCATTAAATATATAAGGTTCAATTCAATTTAGTTCAACCTTACATATTTTAGTCTAAAAACATATAAGACTATCTAAACTCAACCCTGCCCTTAGCCTAAATATAAATTCATTCTAAGGAAACTGGCATCTCTACCATGCTGTATATAAAATAGAAATAAATTTTCCACTTTTTGTTCAAGAAATTTCACTACGTTTTTATTTCTTTCTACCTCTTTTGATTATATCACAGGGCTTCTATTTTAAACAAAAATCCACATTGTGCTTAGGTAAGTTAAGCATGCAACATGTCCCTTGCTCGCTGAAGGTCAGCCAATATCATAAATGATATGTTGGCAATGTATTTCAATAGAGCCAAAAGCTACTATTGCAAATAGCTGGCCACTTTGTAACCAAGGATGGAAGCCACTTGAACTGGTGAAGGTTATGAAACTAATTGTATTAGCAAAAAGGCTATGAACTAGAGGCTCAACTCCGCAGAGTTTTATGTCACAGACAAAGTAAAAATTAAGTCACCAGACTGAACTGGAAAATGTATCTGCTGATTGCACACGTACATATAGTTACAATCATTCCTACTGTAAAAAAATTTTTTTAAAAAAAGTTGAGATGATATTGTATGCCACGGATGTCAAACTTGCGTTGCCATGTTGCCAACACAAGATATTTCGTGACTTTTTTCCTTTGTGGAGTGGGGGTGGGGGTGGCCTGCGTGTGACGCATCCGGCCCATGGGCTGCCAGTTTGACACCCCTGTAAATGTATGCCTTTTCCCTCTTCATCTGATGAAGCTTTATCTATAACTGTTGGAGATGTAGCCCAGAGAACCTAATGTAGTAAGGAAGGAATCTCTATAGGACACAATAATTCCAGATTATTTATGTTATGGCACCACCTAGTGGCTTTGGGAAATAATATTAACTTGTCCCAAAAATAACAACCAGGCAACTGTTAATCCCTTCTCTTGTGTTACTGTGTGACTGCCTTTGGTCACTAGTTCGTACTAATATTTAGATTTATCTTGGGATGCTGTGTGCAAATATTCTCTTCAGAAGAAATTATGAGAATGGTCTTTCAAAATCTGGCTTTGGTTAGTGTCCCTTCACAAATTAAGAGAGAAGCTGTAAGGACCATACAACGTTTTACGTGGTAGTATGTGCTACTACAATTGGAGTTCTTTCCTGTACATATATTTCACCCATGTGCACTTCTTATCTTCCTCTTTAAAAATATTGGTGGAATGAAAACATATGGAATATTACTTTCTTCCCTAACATAAACTTCCTTGGATCTTTAATGAGAGTCAATGTACTGCATAATTTATAAGAGCAGCCTACTGAAAAGCAAGTTTCACTGAATCTTTTGAGAATAGTGCAGTATTTGGAGAAATGCAACCCTGGTTAATGGAGGTATCAGAATGGGCCCTCGGGAAAAAAGCAGTTGTTAACTAAATCAGCGGTCCCCAATCATTCTAACTTGGTGGGGACATGTGAGTGGCAGGCACACATCCGCATGCACAGTTCCATTTGTGGGAGCTTCATACATTAGTGCCCTTCACTCACACAAATGGAGCTTTGTGCGTGAGAGGAAGTCCTTGCACTCACATGTGAAGTTCCACTCATGAGAGTGGCAGGCACTTGTGCTTAAGCGGAGGCAGCGCACACCGATGTGCATGAAGCTCCACTCACACAAGCAGAGGGCATCAGCATGCAAAGCTCCATCCGCGCAAATGGAGCTTTGCACACACATGCTTGCCTGCCGCTCACATGAGTGAAGCTTCACACATGGCATGCATGCCCATCTCTTCCGTGGCCCGGTTTCAAACAGACCGCAGCCCAGTAGTGGGTCGCGGACTGGGGGTTGGGGATCCCTGAACTAGATGATAACCAAGGATTTGCTGTAATCCAGTCAGTGGTGGGTTGCCCCTGGTTCGGACCGGTTCACAAGAACTGGTAGTAAAACTGGCAGGAGGCCCCGCCCACCACCCTGGATGTCGCCATTCTGCACATGCGCAGAAGCAAAGCATGCGCATGAGTGAAGCACAATCCCGTTGCGGTAGTAAAGGTAAGTAGAACCCATCCCTGAATCCAGTGGTCATTCCCATCATTCCGTAACCCATTATAATGTAACCAGCAGTCATTCCTGATGAAATGTGATACCCATGTTGCAAAAGTTTGAATATCTAGAACATACGGGCCTGGTGGCTCAGCAGACTAATAGCATTGTGATTAACACCAGCTGTCTGCAATTACTGTAAGTTCGAATCTCACCAGACTCAAGGTTGACTCAGCCTTCCATCCTTTCTAAGGTAGGTAAATTGAGGACCCAGTTTGTGGGGGTAATAAGCTGACTTTGTATAAATATACAAAAGTATGAAGGCTATTGCTATTGTAATAGCTAAGGCTATTATAAGCCGCCCTGAGTCTCCGGAGAAGGGCGGCATATAAATCAAATTAAAAAAAAAAAAAGATCATATCGTCATAGTGATTTATAATAAGTTACCTGATTTTTCATGATTTCTTAAGTATCTATTTCACTATCAAGGCTATTCAAATCTTTACTCACTAGTTAGGTATTTCTAGATGTCTCATCAGATGTCTTTGAGTCTGTGATGGCAAACCTATGGCACGCGTGCCAGAAGTGGCACACAGAGCCATCTCTCTGGGCACAAGAGTCGTTGCCTGTTGCTATTCTGGGTTCCAGCGTGCTGGCCAGCTGGTCTTCATGCACATGGGAGCACCAGGAACTGGAAGAGCAGCTTCCATTCAAGATGATCTTCCAGTTTCCGGGGCACAGGTGCGTGCCAGCCAGCTATACTTTGCATGCACATTTGCACCAGAAATTGGAACATCAGGTGGCCGCTACATATGCACACACTGGAAACCAGAAGATCATCTTCCCCGCATGCGCACCGGGCATCTTCTCTTCTGGTTTCTGGCACACACATGTATATGCTCCCATTTTGGCACACGGTGCCAAAAAGGTTCACCAACACTGCTCTAAGTGGATCCAGGAGTTATTCTGGAAAGAGCATTTCTCTTTGGAAGTGATCAGTTACAGTCTTATGCATACATATCTATAACTGGTACATATATATTCTATAACTGAATGGAATAGTCATCTAATGTATTATAAAAAATATTTTTCACTTTTGTATACCGTGTTTCCACAAAAATAAGACCCTGTCTTATATTTTTTTTGATCCCTGAAATAAGTGCTTGGCCTTAGTTTCGGGGATGTCTTATTATTTTGGGGCGCGTGGAGCAAGACGGGGCTCCTCTTGCCATCTTACCTGATTTCCAGCTCTGTCTCCCTAACCCTAACCAGAGGAAATGGCGGGGACCAGCTGTGCATGCGTTTAAATATTTTTGAGGAGGGCTTATTTTTGGGGAAACATGGTATATTTTATGTTTTAATGTTCTCATTCAATTATGTTTGCTACCCTGATTATCTTGTTGAAGGAAAGTGATAGTAAAAATAAATTAACAAAGAAGTAAATCAACAAATCAGTCGTAAATGCATATACCTATACAATCAGAACAAATTTCATTTATTCCGTGCTTACCAATGCTGTAATTTAGATTTCATTTAAAAAGCAACAGTAAAAAGATTCTTTTTAAAAATTTTGTTTGGAGGAAAAACCTTCATCTAATGATTTGGTTAAAAAAAGAAATCATTCATAATCTGCAGCAATCAAAACTCCATATTGGTGTAACTAGGTATATCCCCATTTTCCAATGATATGACCAATTATGATCCTTACCTGAGTTTAGCTTTGGCATCATTGAAACTCTCTGATACGAAATAAACAGGCTGATAGGTCTGATCTTGATAGGGTTGCATGGCCGTAACGTCAGGGTCAAAGTCCCGTAGTTCTGGTTCATCAGACAAAGAATGCTGAATGAAGGAAAGGAGGGAGAAGAAAGCAGGAAAACCCCATAAGTTGATTACTGCAGCAAGACTAACTTGATCGACCGAATAGGCTCACCCAAGCTCAGAAGCAGCTGTTGCACTCTTCAGTTTAGTTGGATGGAGGTAAATGGGAGCAGTGGTGAAATCCATTTTTTTTTTACTACCGGTTCTGTGGGCGTGGCTTGGTGGGCGTGGCTTGGTGGGCATGGCAGGGGAAGGATACTGCAAAATCTCCATTCCCTCCCACTCCTGGGGGAAGGATATTGCAAAATCTCCATTCCCACACCACTTTGGGGCCAGCCAGAGGTGGTATTTGCTGGTTCTCCAAACTGCTCAAAATTTCTACTACCGGTTCTACAGAACCTGCTGGATTTCACCCCTGGATGGGGGGGCAACACTTACTATGAGTTCTCCATAGGAAGAGAGAAGGCCAGCTCCATAGGCTTTAATAATTCCATTTTGCTTGCAGAGCCCAAATTCCACCGTGAACCAATAAAGCTGCCGAGAAAAGTGGAATGGAAAAGAAAAACAATGATGGTTAGCATTTTCTTTTCCATATTAGAAAGATAAATTTGGGGGTTTTATTGCATCTGTTCCTTTTTTGCATTGCATTTGGGAAGGCAATTAGAAGCTCTTCTGAGAAAAAAATGTATTTTTCTTTGTTCATAGAAATCAGTGTTTGTTTTCTCTTTACCATGTTTATGCTGGAATATCTACTAATAATATTATTTCCTGGTATCTGCTACTCTTTATATTGAAAACCTATACCAGATTATTCTATCCCAGTTTGGCCCCTGCCAGCTACATTGGCTACAATTCCTAGAAATTCTGATTAGCATAGCCAAAATCGGCATTTCATATCAACATTTACAATCAAGATATATATGTAGAGCAGAATTTCACAGAGGCAATTACAGCTCTATTTGTGTATCCTAGAATTAAGGACTTACTGTTGCAAGTTTTTCAATCTCCTCATCAGTTGCACCCAAAGATGCAAGTCCAATGTCCTAGGAGCAAAAGGAAAACCATCATCTAATTATTATGTGTTTTTCCCCATGACCATTATATATTTTGTGGGCACAGCTCCGTTTTTATGGATCATACAATAGGATTTGGTAAAGTAAAGGTAAAGATTCCCCTCGCATATATGTCCTAGTCATTCCTGACTCTATGGGGTGGTGCTCATCTCCATTTCAAAGCTGAAGAGCCAGCGTTGTCCGAAGATGTCTCCGTGGTCATGTGGCTGGCATGACTAAATGGCAAAGGCGCACGGAATGCTGTTACCTTCCCACCAAAGGTGGTCCCTATTTTTCTACTTGCATTTTTTATGCTTTCAAACTGCTAGGTTGGCAGAAGCTGGGACAAGTAACGGGAGCTCACCCCATTACGCGGCACTAGGGTTTTGAACCGCTGAGCTGCCGACCTTTCGATCGACAAGCTCAGCGACTTAGCCACTGAGCCACCGCGTCCCTTAGGATTTGGTAGGTTGGGTCAAAATTCAGTATATTACAACTTCCCAACTTCATCTCCTCCAAAAATTAGTGGAAGTCCCATAATTCATAGCCAGATTGGCAAATGCTTCTAATTATAAGATGGCAATCTTCCTGAACACTGGCTAGGAAATTATGATCCTGGCTTGTCAAGAAACAGCTGGATATGCTACAGCCTAATTGATGAGTTCTTATTTCAACCATATTTGTAAAAGCCCATTATCTCATAACTCATTATGATATTAACTCATGGGAAGTCTATAAATCGTTGTATACTGAATGCAGATAGGATTGCATAGTTTATTGCCTGCTTGCAATCTTGAAATTATTTTTATAAGTATTTCAAGATATTCTATTACATATTTCTTTATAATTCATGTTTCTAGACTGCCCATCTCCCTCAAGGAGAACTCCAGTATACACAAAACTGTATTTAACTTTTTTTACAATTCTTGTAATTGTTATCTCTATTTTGACATTTAAGAATGTCTTTGGAATGCTACAATTCTGTTTGGGGTGCTCTGATGCATACACATGGCTTTAATCTTCCTTTTTTAAAAAAAAAACTAATTGGAGCCCACCCAATGAAGGGAAACTTTGCAGCAGATAAAAGAGGTTCATTTTCAATTGCTAAACAAAAACAAATGGGGAGAAATGATAAGAAATGAGATTTTGATTAAACATGAAGGGGAAGGACATCCTATTTAAGGAACATTTGAAGGATTGGGCCACAATTCTGCCTTCTAAGTTTTCAGAAATTCTATGAGGCCATTAGATGTTATAGTGATAGTACCTACAATGAAGTGACTATTAGCATTCTTAGGAGGGAGGGCAGGAGGAGTTTAGTAGAAATAGAAATAGAAACTACACCCATCTCCACTTTCAATCTTATCCATGCCCCAAATCATTATTTTAGAGGTTGATGATGCACCATTGTTTGGCACAGTAGTTGGGGGGGGGTGTTAGGATTAGTTCACTTCTAATGACCTTTTATCCACTCCCCATCTTTTAAATTCTGAAAAACATTTCCCTTTTAGCAATAGCGCTTATGGGACTTTACAGCACCCTATGGGCACTTTACAATGTCAACATATTGCCCCCCAAAATTTGGATCCTCATTTTACCAACCTCAGAAGGATGGAAGGCTGAGTTGACCTTGAGCCCTGCCAGGATCAAACTCCTGACTGTGGGCAGAGCTAGCCTGCAATACTGTATTCTAACTACTGCACCACCGGCTTCAGCTTCTGTTTGGCTGAAATCAATTGGAAATTAGCTACTTAAACCACCTAAGTGGCTATAATGCTAAAAATACAATAGGGGAAAACTTGAAAATCATAATATTTGGTCATTTTAACATTGATATTCTACAATAAGGTGCCAAGAATGAGGAGGGGACACGTGTCCTATGGATTTCCCACTTTTGCCACAGGAGATGAGAGGTAGCAAAATCGATTTGGGTAGTCACCTAAATGAACAATCTTTTCTCAAGAGTGCTGTTACTGTAAAGGAGTTGATGGGCATTTTTTTAGCAGCCTTTCAGTATGAGAAGTGAAAGGTACAAGGTGCATTAAAGCTCACCCAGTCTTAGCCTACTAGTTAACAGTAGAAAATGAAATCCCATGAATCCCAGTGGGGGAAAAACATTTGAAAATCCACCTTTTACAATGGTTATGTGAAGACAAAATCACAAAACTGCATCTCACTTATTTTGGCCATGTCGTGTGGTGGGATTCACTGGAGAAAGCAATTATTTTTGCAAGAGTTAGAGGTAAAGGAAACCAGGCTACCAAAGAACACAGTGACTGGACACTCTCAAAGCTGACACCAGTCAGAACATAGAACAACTCAAAGGAGTAGTGCAAAATCTGAAGGTATGGAGACAGCTGGCCCACAGAATTGCCAAGAGTCAGACATGACTGAATGGATAATATCATCATGTTTCTTATGGATTTTGGCACTTTTATAAAATGTCATTTTATAAAAGGGTGCTTCTTTGATCTGGGAGCACCTTCTGGTTGAATTATTTTTCAACTGTTACCATCCCAGTCAGCATGGCCAATGACTGCTCTAGTGGCAAAATAGAAATTGTACCTTCATCATAAGGTGATCCACCTTTTGCTCACCTGAGAAAACTGTGCAAATGTCTTATCAGCCAACATTGGTACGTGTCCCAGAAGTTCATGACAGCAGTCCCTTTGGAAAGAAAAACAGCCACTGTTTTGCAGTCTTCTCTGACTCTGAAACAGCAAGCTAAGCACTAAAGAAGCCAATTCTATGAGGTGGTACTCACGGCTCTGGAGAGTGCATGGGAGAAGAAGCATGCCGGATGTACTGTGTGCACTGAAACACCCTGAAGGCTAAACTGGCTAAGAAATCCCGAGCTGAAAGAAGGCCAGCTACTGGTCGGAGTTGGAATCCAGTTCTCTCTGAAACAATCCAAACTATCTCTTATATTTGGTTGTATCATTTAAGAAAGGATGAACATTAAGAGCTTAACTGGGTCTCCATGGCATAGGACCTGGGTACCTTCGAAACTGTCTTCTGCCACCAATAGCCTCCCACCGACCAGTCCACTCCCACAGAGAGGGTCTCCTCAGGGTGCCATCAGCCAAGTTATGTCAGCTGGCGACACCCAGGGGGAGGGCCTTCTCTGTGGGAGCCCCAGCCCTGTGGAATGAACTGCCCCCGGAAATGTGTAAGATCTCCGACATCCGGGTGTTTCGCTGCACATTGAAGACCCGCCAGGCCGGGCTATCAACATAATTTTTTTATTATTATTTTTTATTATTTTTTATTATTTTTATTTTTTTTTTATTTGATTTATATGCCGCCCTTCTCCGAAGACTCAGGGCGGTTTACAATGTGCTCAGCAAAACATAATAATTTTAAATTGGGGTATTTTAAATTTTGGGGGTTTTAAATCGGCCAAATCTATTTAATTATTTTAATTTTTAATCATTGTTGTGTCTTGTGTTTTTAAATTGGCTGTACACCGCCCTGAGTCCTTCGGGAGAAGGGCGGTATAGAAATAAACTTACTTGAAGCTGTATTTGCTTCAAACATGATTTGGGAGACGTGCTCTCGATCTTGCGCAAAAGAAAATTGTAGCTGCTTTAAAGATCACATTAACTTTAATGTTTTGATTCTTTAAAACAGCCATAACATTTTTGGGGGAGGAGGGACGTGCAGGCTTTCCAGGAAGCCTGAAAATAATCAGGCCAATGATAATGGAAACAATTTTTCTTCATTATTTTCAAAGCATGAACAGCCTTTAGTACTGGACTTCGTGTTATACTGTAGCTGTTCAAGTACATTCAGTGCTGAATTTTATGGAGTTATACAATTGGTCTTTTTCTAATCTTTTTTTAAATTTTGTACATATTCTTTTGGAAGTCTATTCATTCCAGATCTATATTATTATTGGAAAATATATTTCTATTGATGGAATCTTATAATGTCTGTTGGAAAATCGACTGCATTGACAAATGCAATTTGAGTCACCACAAATATTAAAGATTATAGTCTTAATGTTTATCTTTTAAATTTCTATATTTCCTCCTAAAGTGCAGTTTAATTACATATTTTGGTAGGATTTCTTGAGCAAAACCTGCAGTACAAAATTCTTCAAAAATGCAAAATCCCAATGGATAATTCTTGGGATCTACACATTAGTCCAGAAGAAGCGAAGCAGATTTGTTCTTCTCAAAATGAGCAAAGCATAGATTCCTGAAGCATCCTTTTTCTTTGGATGAACAATAGCCTTATGGATGTTCTCCTCTACTGAGCAACTTTACAGAGCATTTTGGAGGCTTCCTCTTGATCTCCCTCTTGCAGAAACCATAATAATCTTTTGATGTTTTATGAACAGTGAATTTTGCTGAACTTTGGAAGACTGTTTTCTTTACCTGGCCAAGGCGATGTAACCTAAATATTATAGAGCATTTTCTTCTGAGAGCAAAACTGAAATTGAATGCTTATTTTGCATAATAAATGAATATACAGATTTGAAGACTGGAGAACAGTGTTTTATATTGTTTCATAGATTTTGTCTGGGATAAAGACTAGAATTTTATTGCAGAAAATTCCCAGGGAAGTATTGCAATGTTGTTCTCCGGTCACCATCTCTGTGGTTCAGGGGGCAGTACTTCTGAGTTTTAAACATGATCTTATATATCTAGATCAAGGGTGGTCATTCTGCTTTGCTGCCCACAAAGTCCCTTCAACTAGACCCCCCCCCCTCCCAGAGGTCCCAGAAGTACTGCTGAAATTGGGCAGCAAATCTATTAAAATACAGAGGTGCAAAGCTTCAAGCAGGGTTAACACCATACAAATGTACAGTTCTCTAAACATGACCACATACTTACCTTTCAGGAAGCAAGAGACATCGTCCAGCTGAGGGATGTTGTTTTCACTATAGCCACTGTACCTCTCCAGTAAATGAAAGGCATCCAGGTGTTCTTTGCAGGCATGAGTGGGATAAAGACTCTTCAAAGTACTATACACTTCCCTCCTTTAAACAAAAAAGGTGTCATTCATATCTTTCCAGAGTATTTACATGGAAAAGATAGTTACCTTAGAATTCTGGCAATCTGTTTAGTATTGTTGATTGAAACATTATTTTATGTTTTTATTTTATTTTATTATTTTATTATATTATTTTGTATTTGAATCTGTCTCAACACTCAGAGACTGCCTGGAAATGACCCTGCAGTTTTCAGAAGTGGTTTGCTATTGCATCCTTCCTACGGTCTATGACAATTCGCCACAGCCAACTCATCACAGCCAACTCATCACAGGACAACTCACTGTGGGACAAGAGTTACACTAACGTCAAAGAAATGGTGGAATAGAATTGTTATAGAAAGCATGCAAAAGGAGGACAGAATGAAATGTGAATGGCAACAATTAAATTAATTTTTATTTATTTTAAATAATTAAATAGAATTGTTAAATTGTCCCGCAACAAGTTGTCTCATAGTGAGTTGGTTGTGGCGAGTTCTCCTACACCAAGTTGCCCATGGTGAGTTGCCCGTGGTGAGTTAGCCACAGCGAATTGGTCACTATGAGTTGGCTGTGGCAAGTTGTCCCATTCCACCTTCCTAGGGCTCTGAGAGAGTGTCTGGCCCAAGGTCACTCAGCTGGCTTTGTACCTAAGTTGGAACTAGAATTGTTCCAATCTTGTTTCTAGCTTGGTATCTTAACCACTACACCAGAGTGGAAAACTATGAGATGTTTAAAATTTATAAAAGCATAACTAAAAAAGAGTGCAAATGAATGGCCAAGAATCTTCTTCTGATCTAGAGTGATCATGAGTCAAATGATACCTTAAGAATTCAGATGAAAATGGTGGGGCAGCTACTCTGCTAGAAAAGGCAATTTGACTTTTATGATCTAAGAAAAGATCTAGAAAAGGTTCCTTCCCACTTACCAAGTAGTAATCTCCTCTTCTGTGTATTCAACTCGAGGAATTGGGTCTCCACTATTAGAAGAATACAAGGAACAGGTACTTAAAAATAACAGTGTAGCAAGTAGTACAGACAAGCCCTGCAATATTTAATTAAAGTCGTATCCAGTCATGCCCAAAATCTGTCACAGACTACCGTGTGCTGGATTATAGAGTACCTTAAACTAAATGACCTCAATAACAGCCCTTTGTTTCAGAAAACTATCCTTTAGATTTATTTAAGTATTTATTTTCTTGGTTTTGTTATTGAATTTTCCATTGTAAAGCAAAATTATAAACAAAAATATTTTTTATCCCTATGAGCCTCTTTCAGGTATGCCCTTTTTTTCAGATTTGTCCTCTCCTTTTTCTAAGAAAATATGGTCACTGTAAGTAGGAGCACTCATTTACATGGTAGATCAAGTGTGATCCCTTAGAGCCTCAGTGTTTTGAGCCAAAGGGACCACTTGGAATTTTGAGATCATGGCAGCCATTGTGGGCGTGGCTGTTCCCAAGTCACTCACATACCAGAAGGAAAACAAAACAGTGAGATGCAGTAACAATTATCATAATCTTTTTCTAAAAATGGTCCAGAGTGAAGGTGTTCAATATTTAGATCCAAATGAAAAAGCCACCTCAGAGCCAATATGGGTGTGCTTGCTATATCTGTCAATAGTTCATTAAAGACCTTCTGCACCTTTTGGGGGTAAAAGGCTTTCTTGGCAAATGTGTTGTCTCAAAAAATATATATACACATTTGACCCCACCCCTTCCCCATCCAAACCTCTATTACAGTTCCTCAAACATGTATTTTCTTGGCACTGCATAGCTATACAAGTATGTAGCTTTTCCAAAGCATCCACTAAGGCGGGTGTCAGCAACTTGTGGCTCTTTGGGCCCTCTGCTGTGGCTCCCTGTTGGGTGATCTCACCATTGGCTGGCCCCGCCCCTTGCCCTCCCCCCCATCACTCCTCGTCTGGCCTGAGAAGGTAAGGGCGACAGTGGGGGATGGAGAAGCGGCCAGGGCAGAGACAGAGAGATACAGAGAGAGGGGGAGAGAGGGGGGGAGGGAGAGAGAGAGAGAGATGTCAAAAGGGTTTTGTGGTTTCCAGTGTTTTTTAACAACCGGTTCTCTGCCCTAATGACCGTCTGAGTAGGCATGGCCGGGGTGGGGGTGGGGGTGTCATGTGACTGGTGGAAGTGACTGAGGTTGAGTTGGCCACGCCCACCCAGGTTTTGTGGCTTCCGGTGTTTTCTTTTCTGTGGGAAACGGGTCCAAATGGCTCTTTGAGTGTTTAAGGTTGCAGATCCCTGCACTAAGGGCTATAGTAAGTACATTCCTACCAGATTCAAAGCATCTTTCTGACTTGGGATCTGAAAGCTGCACACCTTATTAAGTGGTGCCCAGAGGCACTGATAAAATACAGTTTTAAAGCTTGAAGCCGATGCTTTATTTTACAATCAGCTAACTACCCCGTCTTCTTTTTAATTAAAGGTGACCACAAATCTGAATATCTTTCAGCTCTAGGAAGAGAGTAGCCAACACTCTAATTTAGAATTAGGTTGCAGTAATTTGATTCAAGTTTGAATGTGTGAATTGATGGAAGGAAATAGTGTCACACACAACTGGCAAACATGGAACACTGGGAGCAAGAGTATGAAAGAGAAGAAGGATGAAGCAGGGAAGGGAGAAAAATAAAATATGTTTAGAGGAATCCATAGATAACAGTGGGAAAGGTGGCAAGTCTTACTGTTTATAGTGAAAAGCAATTTCTGCAATCATTTTCCTTCGCTCACGATATACTTGGTCAGAAAATCCCTTGGAGGGAAAAAAAAAAGACCAACAGTATTATTTAAGAAGATGCCAAATTCTTATTAAAGATTCAAGAAGCAAGAGCTGATATAAAGGAATCACTTGTCTAAAGACATTCCAACACTGGCTGTTTTATTTTAAATCCCTTTGCTAGTGCTCCCTAGCATAGAATTTGCCTTTTTACATTTGTCATAAGCATGTTATGACCTCAGGGCAGACAGTTCAGATTTTCATCAGTGCATACGTGAAATTGGGATTTTTCCTCAATTTAAATCACTTTAACACTTGAACTGCTGAGATCAATAAGAAGGACAATTTCTTATCCCATAAAATGGAATGTTTAGATTATCCTCCTAAAGAAATAATGAAAAAATGTTTACTTACTGGGTGATCCAGATCCAAATCAGGGTCAAATTTGGTAACTAAATGGTGACATAGATCTAACTCCGAAATTTTTCTTGGAAACCAATGAACTGAAATCCAAAATAAGAAAGAGGAAGTTAGGTGAAAGCCCCACAAAGTGAGTTGATGATGGTGGGAATGTTGAATTTTATCTAAGAAGATCAAAAGCAGAAATATAAAATAGTTGCTTCTATTTAATATCAGAACTGGATTTATCTTTTAATACGGGGTAGTATCTCCTTTAGCATAACATAATAACTGGGTAATTCTATAATCTTTTTTTACCACCATTCTTTTACTGGAATGTAAAACAGAGATAAATCCCTAGGTGATAGGACCAAAGATTTTATTGAATAATATGGAGAAATTCCAACAGAATAAGTCTGAAGATTAGCATAGGCATTCTTAGACGCAGTAGAACTGGGAAAACTGATCAAACAGAAGTTCTGATTTGGGTGTTTGTCATTGGCCCATCAGGAAGCAGACTGGGAATGGGTGGTCTTTGACGATTCCAATCTATCAGCACTGGTCACTACTGGATGATCTAAAATAGCCTTTCCCAATTTAGTCTTATCCATATGCATTTGACTTCAAATCTCGTAATCGCAGCCGGTATAGCCATGATGACCATGCAGTTTTCAATCAGTTTTTGATTGATTTAGCAGATTCCTATGGCTACTCATTTCACAGAAAATGACTCTAGGTGGCATTTTTACTCCAGTAAAAATAGTAAATAAATCACTAACTCAAACCTTTCTATAATGATTATTAAAATGAATTAAAAATTAGAAAAACAAGCTAGAATGGGGAAAGAGAATAAAAAGTGGAGTGATATTAATAGTAAGGCAGCCATCGCACGGGTTCACCTGTCCCCTGCTGTTAACAGGTTTTAACAAGTTTTGAGAGAACTTCAGGAGCTCAAGAGTGATGAGGTCAACCTTATATCTGGGAAGGGGGGAGTTAATGGAATTGGCTTCATTCAGGATGTTCTGTGAGATCAGGGATGTAGTCCTCTGAATCTCAGTGAAATTAACAAGAGTTACTAGTTAGATCCACATGTCTAGAAACATATGTGAAAAGTTAGATATCACTTTGAAGAAAACAGTAGATGTGTATGTTTCTTAAAGTTTTGCTGAATAATTAGAAGATTGCAATGCAAAGCACCTGAAAAAGTGATTTATGAAATTGTCAGGCATAAGCAAACCAGAACCACATCATGAATAAAGGTAAAGGTAAAGGTTCCCCTCGCACATATGTGCTAGTCATTCCTGACTCTAGGGGGCGGTGATCATCTCCGTTTCAAAGCCGAAGAGCCAGCGCTGTCCGAAGACGTCTCCGTGGTCATGTGGCCGGCATGACTAAATGCCATAGGTGCATGGAAACACTGTTACCTTCCCACCATTTTTCTACTTGCAATTTTTATGTGCTTTTGAACTGCTAGGTTGGCAGAAGCTGGGACAAGTAATGGGAGCTCACCCCGATATGCAGCACTAGGGATTTGAACTGCTGAACTGCCGACCTTTCGATCGACAAGCTCAGCGTCTTAGCCACTGAGCCACCATGTCCCTTTTATCATGAATAAAAGGGGGGCCCGAAAGCCCTACTAAGCAGGTATATATAAAAGTATGAAGGCTATTGCTTAATGCATTGTAAGCCCCCCTGAGTCTCCGGAGAAGGGCAGCATATAAATTGAACCAATAAATAAATAAATAAATAAATAAATAGGCCCTAGTAAAAGCTTTATTCCTGATCACCTTTGTGCCGATCACCTATATGACAGAAATCTTGTCAGACAGTCTGCTTTCCCTTGGGAAATGGCAAATATAGACCTAGAGATTTGATTTCAAATGTTCCCTCCTCTGAAACAACTCTAACCTGGAATGTCATTTTACTTCTCCAAGAAGCCCCCCCCCCACTCCTTTATCAGTGATTCCACTTCATCAATATCTCCTGTTCCTAATACATCATACAAGCTACAAAGTCTTTCTTACACTTGTCTTCTTTTGTGCTCCTTACATCTTCTGACACCCTTTTAAGGGAACTGATGAATGTGCTCAGTGCAGAGCAATGGAGTTCACATCGCACAAAGTATTCCAGCTCAGTAGAACCTTCTTGTACTTTCTTACTGGGCCTTGTTTCCAAATGATGGATTTTGGCTTCAAAGGTCTTTAGAGACAGAGAGAAGGGAAACAGTAACTGAGACAAAAATAAGGAGGTTTCTCCCTGGGTTACTCCCAGATAAAACAAGGAATAAATATTACATTAAATAAAACTTTAAGTAAGCTGCTATTTATCTTTTAAAACTACTTTTATTAGAATTTTTCAATGTAATAAAAGAAAAATGAAATTTAATTTTTTTTAAAAGGATAGAAGTAAGGGGAAAATGGTAATAGAAATTTTATTTCATTTTTTATTATTTATCTAATTTCAGGTCTCACTAATTTTTGCTTGCAGACAAGTGGTATTTCTTGCAGATATGCCAATGCACCATTGATGCTACTTCGTCATGCTGTTTTTGTGGTAATCTGTTGACCTTGCAGGAGCTAACTATATGGTTCATTGTTTCTTCAGTATATATTATTATTAAATTTGTCTCATTTAGGACTAATAAGGAAGATATACCTCTTAGTCAGGGCTATAGCCAATGGTTGGGAATATCACAAAAGTGCATTTTGACTAAATATTTAGAGAAATTTCAAAATGATAAAGCTGATAAAAATGATACAGTGGAATAGGCAACTGTAGGAAGGTGTTACAGATGTCCTTGCTTACCAACTAATCATTCAGTGACTACTCAAAGTTATAATAGCACTGAAAAAAGAGATTTACAATTGATCCTCGGAATTGCCATTACAACTTCCCTGCAGTCACATGATCACAATTTAGGCTCTTGGCAGCCAGTACACATTTACAATTGCAGCATTGCAGATCATGTGATTACCATTTGCAAGCTTTACAGTGACTTCCAACGAAGTCAATGGGGAAGACAGCAGACAGTTGCAAGTTAAGGTCAAGTGTCATTGCACTGAATGACCACGTGGGATTCACTAACAAGCATAGCTGGAACTGATGTCATACGTTGGGGACAGTCACATATTTAACTTTACAACTATATCACTTGGCAATGGAATTGTCAGTCATAGTTGGTAAGTAAGGATTACCTATATCCACATATATAAATAAATACTGGCCAGTCAACTGTCTGGAATATTGTACTTACACTCAGTCAGATCACTTCTGAAGAATTTTCCAAGTCAACAGATACATCATTTGTGGAAGCTATTATTTCATAACAGCTAGAAGCTATAGGCTAGAAAGGTCCAGTTCTAAGTGTACCATTATGAACACAATATTTTTAGCCCACTGCTATCCTAGTTGCACTATAAGAATAAAGATGTGCTAGAGAAACGATTCTTGTAACACTGGTGACACAGCTTAATACCTAAAGCTATTGTAGGATGATGAATGATACTGTACTTACTCTTGCATCATATAGGGTAATGACACTACTTTTATTAATACACTATTAATTCAATTATATCACATCATTACAAGTATGTCAAGATAAATTGAAGCCTGGGTATTTTTAAGAAAGCTGAATGTCTTACTTTCCATATAGTTTTTGAATAGCCCCAGCACTATGCTCTGGCCAAGGTGCTGAATGTAAACTATCAAGAGAAGTGCTTTGACTTCTAGGACAAATTCCTTCTGGAAATTTTGGGCTGAACCTTTTGATTGGCACAACTCCTATATAAGTGTCATGCCCCAGGAGAAGCACACACTGGAAGGAGGGGGGGAAAGGTTAAATGGTCCCACATCCAGTTCTACAATCTTCTCTTTAAAAAAAAAAAAAAATCTTCCTTAAGACTAAAATTAATCCCTGGGTGAAATGGATAAGGAAATAAGCAAGCTTTCTCCTTTCCACATTTTCACTCCTGAAAAATCTACAGACAGAATGTGATTGATTGGTAGATCTTTGGGACAGAATGACAAGGATTTCCAACGTCCCTTGACCTAGCCTCCACACCCCCAAAATAACCTTCAGGTTGTTGAAAAAAGATACTTAGGATGAAGTCAGGGTTGATTTGTGTGAGTTCATAAATCAAAAAGATTTATGAGCTTGCTTCTGTTTATTGATTGCAAATTCCTGGACTGAGTATGTCTTACAACATTCCTTAGTTTTTAGAATATGTCTTCCTACATGAGCCTCCATCATGAATTCAGCTCTAACTGGTGTATCAAAATCTGAGGTCCGCCTGCTTCTGCCATAGATATTACATTTCATTGATGCCAAACATTCTCATCCATGCAAAATTCCTGTTCGTACGTCCATATCTAATGCTAATAACAAGGCTTTTGCTTCTACTTCTTCAAGAGTTAAACTATCTCCTCCTCAGAGATACAATAGGGGAAAGGCTGCCATTTTTACTTAATCAGAGATAGACCAAGGGAAGAGAAAGCAATGTCACGAATAAATTCAATTTAGCTCCATGTTTTGTAGATGCATTGTTTGAATGTGGGATGTAGAACAATCAATACCTCAGCATTAATCTGACAGATCTGATTGCATTACACTTGCTTTAGTTGTATATAATGTAAAACAGCAGAGGGAAACGAGGCTGCCCACTGCCTTTTTCATCAACAGGCAAATGTCATTACACCCATCTGTTTTCATATCTTCTACCTGCAGTGCCGGAGGGATCGGAATAATGAATCTTTCACTGTGGAAGCCTGGTGTGCATTGGTGTTTACTTTCCTTACACACCACTTCATGATTGCCCAGAAGAGCTTTGCAGTCCTGAAAATCTCTTGAAGGTCTCAATGCTCTTCAGATAAATGTCCTTTAGTCTTACAAATCTTTAAACTCTTCTGGAGTGTTATTATTAATCTTATTCAGCTGACTGTAAAATAATTTTCATGCACATTTGTGTATACATACACACACACAAACAGTTCATTTATTTAAAAAATGGATACTAAGAAACATAACAAATTACCTTTGGGCCTTATCATATATACTTTCTGCAACATTTCTGAGCTTTCATAGGAATTATGGAAACAATAACTAAATTCTCTCCATCTCTGGATTAGCTTTGTTTGCCTTAAAGATACTGAGCTCACATTTTAGTACTTCAATTTTCTTTTCAGTTTGTTTAAATATTTTCCCATTTAATCCTGTGCTTTGTAATTATTTTTGCTTTTGGAATAGCCTGTTAAAAAAAAACACATAATGGTAATTTCTGGGTTCCTGGCATTATTGTTATTTGTTATTATAATGTTGGCTTTTGACCTGACCAATATTAGAAAGAATCTATTTGCAAACCCAATTCTGGCTAAACAGGAAAGCAAGCAAATACTGAAAAATGCATCCAATAAATCCTACTAAGAAACTGATATCCCTGAATGCATCCAGTCAGAAGTCTAATCTAAGAAATGTTGAGAAATTCTGCCAGAGCTGTGTCTGACTACTTAAAATAAGATGTGTAATCCATGATTTTTTTCTGATTTCAATTCTTATCTTAAAAGTTAGTCTAAGAATCTTAAAGTGGAATAAGGTATCCTTTCTTTCTCTTTTCTTTTCCTCTCTTCCCTTTCTCTCTTCTCCCCCCCCCTTTTATACACACACACACACACACACATACACACACACACTACTGCTTTAGCTGCAACCACTTGGTGAGGGAGATGTCCATTGAGTAATAGCCCTATCCCTGCCCTGCCAACTTCTAGATCTTCAAAGTGTTTCATATGACCATTGTGCCTCCTGACTCATTGCAAACATTTGCCTATCCCATCTGAGTATAAGAGTCAACCCTGCCTCCTCACCTCAAAGATTTTAAGTGCACGAGATGGGAGTGAAGTCTTCCCTCCTTTAAGTGTGAACAGAAGATTCAACACGGCTATCCCATCCTTCTCATCAAAGACAATGGTCTCAGTCAATTCAGCAGCTTCAGATGCAGCAGCTGCAGCAGCTTCTCTCTCCTTTCTGGCATCTTCAATAAGACTCTGACGTCTACCTATGAATTGTGGAGACTGGGCAAAGAGCACAAGAAGAGAAATTTCAACAGTCATGGAAAATGATGCTCATCTCTATGCAATATATGAATAATCAGCCTACTTCTGCTTCATCTAGCCCAAATGTAACTATTTAATTATCCTTCTGGTATCCTCCTGGATAATATGCTAGGTCAGGACACTTGTTTCAGCAATTTCATTCCTATAGACATGATGTTTCAATCAGTGATATGGGGGAGACGAACCCTTCTCAGTCATATTCCCATCCTTACTGTTTAATATCTATATGAGGGAGCTTGAGATGACAACATCTAGTATCCAAGTATGGGCCAGAGAGGCTGTTGATGTCTTGACTCAGGGTCTGGAAGCAGTAAGGGATTGAGGAGGGGGGAATAAGTAGAATTTAAATTCTGATATTGTTTATCAGGAAGCCATCAGATTCTTGATTGACTCTAGTTATCACTCTAGATAGGGTACTATTACCTCTAAAGGAGCAAGTTGATATCTTAGGGGTCACTCTAGACTCACATCTGCTACAAGATGGACAAATGGAGGTCACTACTGGCAAGGCTGTCCAGCTTTGGTTAATGTGCTAGTTGCCACCCTGGCAACAAACTTCCAGACTTTCATTATCCCAGACTACTATTTTATGTAGGTCTGCTTTTGGAGACTACTAAGAAGCCACAGTTGACTCAGACCAACAGCCCATGTTCTGGCTGAATATCTAACATTAATGTTGCAGGTACTGTCTCAGTAGCCAACGGGCTTCCAACAGTAGTGGGTTTCAAATCCTGGTGCTACCAGTCGCTATTGGTAGCGCACGGGTGCGTGCACTTGCTTTGCAAGCATGCAGCACTTCTGCACATGTGCAGAAGCTTCTGCACATGCGCAGAGCATTTTTGATTACCTCTGAGCGGGTGGGCGGAGCCTCCCGCCACTGCCGCTACCGGTTCACCTGAACTGGGGTGAACCTGGAGCAACCCACCACTGGCTTCCAAGTATCATTCAAACACTATATAATCACTGATAAATTCCAATATATAGTGGCACCTAGGAACTGATAAGACTGCCTTGAGTGTCTGCCTTGAGTGATGCCAACACACTTCATGTGCACCTCCCCATGAGGGATTCTAAAGGTTCTCCCCTATACAATATTGAGGGATGGGGAGCAGAAAACTATGTTTTCACTATATGCTCCATCACAGTGGACAAGACCACTTTTTATTTGGATGGCATCTTCTATTATGCTTTTTAGGAAGGTAGTAAAGGCTGAATTGTTTTGAAGAACATTTACTTTTTAATATTGCTGAGTTAGGTGCTTGGGAGAGAGGATGGATAATTTTTATCACAACTTTAATATATCTGTATCAAACATTTTTAAGCTTTGTGATTATTGTTGTGTATTTATGTGAACTGTTAAAAGCCTATATTGAATTGGCAAAATACAAATGTTATAGCATACAAATAAATAATACACCATGCATTAAATACATTACTGAAATATACACAATGCTAAATTATTTCAGGCTGTAAAACCTACGGTGGCAATCAATTTCTTTAGCATGCCGATATCGATGTCGAAAGCAACAAGCTGTTATTTTCCAAAATGTATTCAATCATTTTGCTAATTTTTAACTAATTTATGGCAACGATTTTATAACAGTTTGCCCCAAGTGGAGATGTGGGCATCAGTTCCCTTCTGATGAATCAGGTATTTTTCCTAGCCGTAAACCTCTGCATTGCCCCAGCTCAGGGAGGCATAAAGAGCAAAAACCTTAATCTCGCATATAATCAGCCACTACTGACATCAAGCAGCTTGCAGAGAAAGAGCCGAATGTTAAAAGAAAGGGCTACCCATCAATACAACTCCAAAGGCTGCCTTTTAAAAGAAGGAACTTTGTGTTGGTCCTTTTAGGGTGGACAATGACCCAAAAGACTCCCTTTGGTAAGTTGAGGCGTTTTTTTGTTTGTTTGTTTATGTCTTTGCTTTTGGGGAGTTTTATAGAAAAAAAAGGAGTGGGCTTTTGAGATAATTGCCTGAAAGCATGCTCAATTATTTGCTTTCCACCCCCATCTCTCTTTATTTTCAAAACATTGGAAATAATTTTTGCATATCTGGGAGCATATATAATAATATAGAGTGAAAAGGAGAGCATAAATGCATAAATAGCAGCTTTATCTATTCAAAAGCACATCCAACCCATGCTTGTCTGTTTTCCAGCAAAATACTTTTGCCAAGCTTACGGCTAATATGATATTATTTGCAAACTAGAGATATTCATTAGAAATCGTGCCAACCGGGTAACTGTGAGATGTGTTAAAAAGCAGACAGAGATTAAAAATGAGAGCCAGTTTCCAACCTGGTTAGAAACTGGAGAGCTTGTGAATCCTGCCTTAGGCAAAACCACCTTTGGCTGGTTCCGCTATCTTAGCCTTAGGAAGCAGGCAATGGCAAACCACTTTTGAAAAATCTTGTTAAGAAAACTCCAGGGACATATCTGAGAATCAGACACCATCGAATGGAAGAAGAAAAAAACATAAAAAGGCAAATATAAAGCATTTGAAAGAATTTCCATATATAGTGATAGTATTAAATAGTCATTTAGAGGTTCATTACTCAGTCCGATGAGGATTTGCCTCTTTCTTACTATGTAATATTTCCTTCCCCGACCTCATGCTCTATACACTTGATGGATTTTAACCCCTAAAATCTCCGACTACCTACACTATTGGTGGATAAGCTATCTGGGCTTGATTGTTGATACCTGTGGTTGATAATTGTAGAACAACTCAACTAGAAAGCATGACCAAAGGTCAAGGTGACAGAGCAGATAAAATGGGAAGGCTCCTCATTGCCCTCACGCCAACATCTGAAGCTGACGTAGAATGCGTTCAAGGAAACAGGTGAAACCAGATATGGAAACAATGTGAACATAGTTCTAGAAACCAGTATATACCTACTTACCTACAATTAATGCTATTTATAGGATTTACTTTTGTATGAATGTGTATCAGCATATACTCTTAAATGTGGTGATGTTGTCTAATCTAAATTATATCTATGTAGTAAAAAACCCTGTTGATTTTTTTTTATAATATCCCAGCTTGTAATGCCTGACATTTCCAACCTAGTACCTTCCAAATTCCCAGAATCTTATTGCCTCCAAATGATTGGTTGTTCTAGGAATTGCAATCCTAAATTATCTAGGCAATGTTAGGTTGAGAAAAACTCCTATATGGGACTATGGTCTTTTGGTTGATTTTATGGTGATGCTGCTTCAGTGCTTCAGTTATTTAACTTGATGTGTTATTTACGTCCAAGCCGTAGGCAGAGTGTTTCTGTGAAAAACTTTTTTTGTTCATCCCTGAGGAATAAGATACACTCATCTCTATCTCCCTTTGAACAGAAGGTACAGGTTACTTCATTTATTATTTTTTTTATTAATTTTTAATATTTATTAATTATTTAGAATAGAATAGAATAACAGAGAAGGGACCTTTGGAGGTCTTCTAGTCCAACCCCTGCCCAGGCAGGAAACCCTACACCACTTCAGACAAAGGGTTATCCAACATCTTCTTAAAAATTTCCAGTGTTGGAGCATTCACAACTTCTGCAGGCAAGTTGTTCCACTTATTAATTGTTCTAACTGTCAAGAAATTTCTCCTTAGTTCTAAGTTGCTTCTCTCCTTGATTAGTTTCCACCCATTGCTTCTTGTTCTACCCTCAGGTGCTTTGAAGAATAGTTTGACTCCCTCTTCTTTGTGGCAACCCCTGAGATATTGGAACACTCCTATCATGTCTCCCCTAGTCCTTCTCTTCGTTAAACTAGACATACCCAGTTCCTGCAACCGTTCTTCATATGTTTTAGCCTCCAGTCCCCTAATCATCTTTGTTGCTCTTCTCTGCACTCTTTCTAGAATCTCAACATCTTTTTTACATCGTGACGACCAAAACTGAATGCAATATTCCAAGTGTGACCTTACCAAGGCATTATAAAGTGGTATTAACACTTCACGTGATCTTGATTCTATCCCTCTGTTTATGCAGCCCAGAACTGTGTTGGCTTTTTTATTCATTTATTTCCACCAGCACTCAACAGACAATTTTCTCTATTGAGGAAGATTGGTGATCACTTTTGCTTTTATTTGCAGAAAAAAGCGGGGGGAATCACAATTGCTTACTACACTGCCTATCCGATATAGGTTAATCTTGTTTGAAATGCAACCTGCTACATTAAATAAGGAAGAGAGGATAATGAAAGCTGAAAGCGGCGGGTTTTATTCCTAACGGTACTTTTTTAGTTTGTGATTTCAAGCCGGTGTTTCATTATAGGTCACGCAACAGCCATCTGGGTCCAAAAGACCTTTCCACCTTATTGTGTAGCATTACTTCCCTATATATATTTGGGGGAAAAGAAATTAAAGATAAATATGGTAGCTTTAAGCTTCCCTCTTTTTTTTTTTTACTATGAGTTCAAGCAATGCCCTTGCATCTGCTCAGTTAAAAAAAAATTGTGTTTTACAAAGCAGTGAATCAAGACTGCTTGTATCTAAGAGTTACTTGGCTAGCTTTCCATATGAATAAACCCTGGAACCTCGCCTGAAGAGTGGGACAGGATTTTATATCTTTGCTTGCGTAGGAGAATTCAGTTCCATTCTTTGCACAAAGGCAACAATGAACATCACTATTGGGATGGCAGGGTGGTATTTGCCTGGCACTTGACAGATCTTGCAAAATTTACTTCCTGACTGCAGACAGAGAAAGCAAAACAAAACCAGGACCACCCTTTTTAAAAAAAAAATTTTTTTTTAACTTAAACATACCATCTTCCATTAAACAGTGTGTCATCAAGGTACAAATATCTCTGTGCAATAACAATCAAAATTTACAACAGTATTCATTACATTGATATTGATTCTCTAATCTTACAATAATAATAATAATGAGCATAATACATCTATTCATTTCTCCCTCTTAACGTATCTTCTAATAAGAATATAATAATCTTAAATATAATAATCTTAATAGTCATATTAGTAAAAATCATCACATTGTTTGCTCCTCTATCTTAACATGTTTTCTACATTTCACTGATCTCCATTTATTTCTAACTTCTATTTTTATTTTCCAACCATTCATAAAATAACTCCCAGGACCACCCTTGTGGTCCCTACATCAGAGGAAAGCAATTTAGGAACCTTCAGATGTTTTAGACCATAGTTTCTACAGTTGTCTATGATTTACCTCACTGGCTAAAATTAATAGAAGCTGATGAGATCTAAAACACTCCGAAGGTGGCACCTTGCTTATTCCTGTTCTAAACAAAATTGTATGGACTGCACATTTAGCCAAAACCAGCACAAAGTTAAAATGAGCAAACATTTTGCAGGGCTAGAAAGCCAGTTTGGTGTAGTGGTTAAGACATCAGGCTAGAATCTGGGAGACCATGAGTTCTAGTCCTACTTTTGACACAAGGCCAGCTGGGTGACCTGGGGTTCTTCCCTCTCTCTCAACCCTAGGAAGCAGGCAAGCAGGAAACACTGGAGGGATTTTTTCAGGTAGTCTCCAGCAGTCAGAACTGACTCAAAGACACCAAAAAATTCAGAAGCTGCATAAAATACCAAGAATTTCTGGCTTCTGAAACTTGAATGAATTAGGTATGGAACTAAATGATTGCAATTATAAAATATGTTTAGCGGGCTACTGAATTAAATCCATGTTGTGAATTGACACAGCATAGTTAGCCATAAACTAACTGAATGCGCTAGATTCATAAAATGCCACAAAAAATATAAACAAGACCTAGATTAACCTAGGTTGTACAAATGCATCTGCTGGAATTTCACACGAACTGTTTAAACTTGCGGTTTAATACAACCAATATTTTATTTCAACATCCCTGAAACAAATCCTCCCACCTTGATATTAACTCCTTCCCAATCCCTAAATATAAAATAATATTTGATTATGATTTTTCTTTATATATTTTTAAAAATAGCATGAAATCAAAACTGGAATGTGCTTTTTAAGGGAAGTGACAGTAAGCAGAGAAACTATGATCTTTTATTTAAATGTAACTAAAATGCTGTTTACAATTTATTTCCTATTATTCTCTTGTAAAAAAAAATATTTAAAAAGTTATCTAAAGAGCTGTTTTAGGATCACTTCTGCTAATCTAGTTTTAGATGTTTTGACTCCCTGCCTCCCCTTCTGCTTTCCCAAAATATCGTTGTTGTTATGAAAATGTCTCTTGGATTTAAAACTAAATTTATTACAATAATTCCATTGTTGTTTTTAATGGGGGGGGATTAAAAACCTCTCCTTCTCAGGCACATTACTCTAGTTTCATAGACAATTTTGGTTAAGGTCTTTTACTAATTAATTGTAAGGAATGTACTGGAGGAGAATGTATGAAACTGTATAAAGCATGATTGCTTGTAGAATTTAACATATTGGGCCAATCAGCAAACTTTTCTTCACTGAAGTGACTTTACTACTCTAAATCAATAGTAGTGTACATTTAGAGTAAATATGAAATTGTTAACCCAAAGAGAATCAGAATTATTTCAACAGTTTGTCCTTCCTTCCAATAGTAACATCAGTTGCCAAATTACATTATATTTTGTGGTTGTTTTTGAAGAATAACCTGATAAATACTTTATTTCAGGACCATGAAGGGTGAAGCCTTAATCCTTTCTTCCTCACAGTATAAATAATCAAATAATAACAAATAATCCTCACAGTAAAACTCCTATTTGCTGCACAGTGCAAGATTTTCTGGGCAACAACCACAGGGTCCTTCCTTGCCCTATCTTCCAAGAAACGCAGTTTCTTGGAAGATGGGGCAATTTTCATTGGGTCTGCAATATAGGACCAAAGTATATTTTGCTATAGACTGATGCCCTGTGGAAATGCAACTAAGAAAGCAAGAGAAATGTATTCAGTAGTGTTTTATGCTAAAGCTGCTAGGGTGGAGTAGTTTATCTGACATCTTCATAAAGATTCCAAGTTAATGAACCAGAACACTCAAAAAGTTGGTTGACACACATATATGCGGTACTTGAGTCTTATGTACTTGATGATAGGCAGTCAAAAATATGAGCAAATTAAAAATAAGAGATTTACCTTTGGTGCTAGAAGTACAATGGGCACACATAAAGTTATAGCTAGCAATATCTATAAAACTTTAATACAGTCTGATACAGTTACATCAAGGTCTCATGGGGAGTTATAACCTTCCCTCTGTGCATATCTACTAGTGCAGACTTAACTCAGATGCTGCCGCAAGGAAAAATGCAGAACTGAATTGAGATTCAGTGTTACAAAGAAGGTATTAGCAATTTGCCATTGGATACAAATCACTATTCTTTCATGCAAAACCAAGCAAATAAAGCAAGGCATATAACCGCACCAAATTTCTACTAAACTAAAATATTGTAAAACTCCAATGCTAGGCAATAATAAGACATGCAAAGCAATTCAAGCATACAATAATAAAAGAAAGCCTTTTGTCATTGTTTTAGCTTTAGCCTAGCTTTTATATGATTCCACATTTTTCCCATTTTATAATATATATATATATATATATTATTTTGTCACTTTTTCTTCTATAAATGGCATGCTTCTTTTGGTCAACTGCATTATTCTCTGGTACTATTAATTAGCACCAACATTTCTAAGGACCGATCTGCCTAGCTTTTGGATTCTCTCACAATAGGTTGATGCTCATGATACAAAGTTAGATTTCTCTTCCTTCCCTACATTTGCCTGTCTCTGCAAATCAACATCTCATCCCAGGGATGGCTGAGAGCATCTTTGCTTACCATGATGGCCTCGGCTTGTTTAGAGTCCAGCTCCGATACTGCCCGCCGGAAGCCTTTGGCTGAAGAACTGGAGGCGTTTGGGGTTGGCATCCTGGCTGATGAACTGTCTTAGCTTCCAGCACTGTTTTCCCTTCTTATTCTGGGTTTTTATAGGGCATGTCTGACGTCAAAGACCCTCTCTGATCCCCTCTGTCCACCTCCCTCCCTTCAGCCTCAGGGAGAGGAAAGAGGAGGAGGGAAGAGATGCAGAGGAAGAAAACACTTGTGTCCCATTAAATGTAATTGCCACAAAAATGACAGGCACCCAGTTCCTGCAAACTCACAGTTGACTCCCTGGTACCCAAAGTATTTGCTCAGTTATTTACTCTGGCTTTTTACCACAGCTTCCTCTAGTCATATGCATGCTGAACATTCTCAGTGAATTGTCTGCAGTCTGCCTTTGATAAATATGACTGTATTAGCCCTGCCAAGCAATATGTAAAGACGTGAAAATAAATAAGAGCAACATTTTGCTGGTTGTATGGGTTGAGTCACGTGGTTAAAGAAAGAGGATAGAAAGAGGTTTTGGGGGGCTGGGTCTGAAATCATTGTTAAGTGTTTGGTGGAGAACTTTGGGGAAATTTTGCCGGGTCAGAAGAATGGAACATTTGTCTAAAACGTAAGGAGTAGAAAGGTTTCTGATCTTCCACAACAAATGCTAAATAGCTACAAACAGCAAATGCTAGACAGCCACAAAAGGCAAACTTTCAAGCCTTCAGGAATACACAATTGGGGCTTACCTACATTGAATATATCTACTAACACTGAAATAGTGCCTTTATTCTGTAAATGTTCTCCTGCTCTTCCACGCACATGACACTCAACTATCATCTAAATATAGAGGCTGGGGTTCTATCAGAATAAAGACGCTTGACTTAAATTTCAAGGCTGACAAACATTAATAAAACTACTCTCCATCAGGGGTAAAATCAGTGGTGGGTAGCTACTGGTTCACCCCAGTTCGAGCGAACCGGTAGCAGTGGCAGCGGGAGGCTCTGCCCACCCACCCGGACACTTCTGCGCATGCGCAGAAGCAGCGAGCATGAGCGTGCAAGTGCTCATGAGCAAACCAGTAGCAATGGGTTTTGAAACCCGCCCCTGGGTAAAATGCACATCCCAGTGGATGGGCAGAGCCTCCCACCGCCGGTCCTACCGGCTCACAAGAGTCGGATAGATCTGGCCAGATTTCACTGCTACTCTCCATGTTAAAAATTACAGTTACCTTAACAACCTCAGTAAGGTTGACTGGGAGCTGTGTTTACTTTCTTTTATAGATCTTCTATATCTCAGAAAGCCTATCTGGTTTGTTTGTTTGTTTGTTTGTTTGTTTGTTTGTTTGTTTGTTTGTTTATGTGCATTGCCTGATCATCCATTTCAAAGCAGGCTTACAATTCTCCAGAATAAATTAATAAAATGTTCACTTCTGCTTAGTCTGCTAATTATTATTAATGTATTCAAATATTTCTGTGAGGCTGAAAACTCAGAACTTTTTACTGGATCCTAGTACGAAATGTTCCATGTCCTTTCGATCAAGAATAGGAGATAACTCCCAACAACTATTATGAACATGGTCAACAGGCAGGAATACTGAGTGTTCTCACTCCCTGAAATAAACTGTATACTTTAAAAAAAAAACTTAATGGGGAGGGAACAGTCTTTTTTCCTTTCTTTCCAGCCCCTTTCCTCCCCACACACAAACATGTTGCTTGTTTCTTGATTCAATGACCTTCTCTACTAGCAATAATCAAAAAAGAGGGAGAGGGAGAAAGGGAGGGAAATTTCCACTTTTAAAACGTAAGTTCATGAGGTGGAGAAAATTCTAGAATTCAGAATTAGGTCTTAAGCTGTATATTGAGTTATGTTTAGATATGCTATGTTCATTCTCTGATTGATCTACTGCCAGTTGCTCAATCCTATAGAAGGCAAATCTACATACATTTCATAAAAAGAGCAAATAAACATATGAGGACAAATATATTGGTGTTATTGTTAGCTTTTTTTATTTTGGCATCAGGGTTACTGGATCAAGAATAAAGATACTATTATCCATATTTTTCACAAAAAAATCACATCAATAACAGATAGCCAAATTTGTCAGGTATGATTCTCTCTGGTTTCACATTTTTCCAGTATTACGTTGGTATTGTTACTTTTTTGAGTGAGCTTGACTTTTTTTCTTTTAAGACCAACCTAAATCTTCCTATAAAAACCAACACTCATTTTAGGAGGCACTGCTAAACAATATTTTATATTCTAATATGACAAGCAGCTGTTTCTAATGTGCTTTATTTTCCCTCACATATTTTTGTGTATATTCCTATTCCAATATACACATTTTCTTAGGTATTCTTAAGTGATAGGTTATATTGCAAAAAAAATTGAAAAGCTGCAGATATCACTGTTTAATTATGTTCTAGTTTGTGCAAAGCTTTGAGAGGTGAAAATTAAATAAACTCACATTAAAATGTGAACTAAGTGGATTTTCTCTGAAGGTTAACAGTCCCGTCCAATGTTTGAGACTGGAAAAAAAAATCCTACAAAGGCCCCTCAGCAATAGCCAGATGGTTTCTACCTTTGCTAGGCAGTAAAATAGAGATAAAATGGATGGCTGTCACTGTTGCCCAATGTGCTGGTTTTTCTCTCATCTCAGGTCAGAGAACAAGAAGGGCCAGAGGCATAGTAAATGAGTGGGAAGAAGTCTTTTGTCAAGTCCAAATCAGGAATGGACGAATTGACAGTGAACCTAGATCAGTGTTTCCCAACATTTGCAATTTGAAGACATGTGACCTTCAATTCCTGGCTGGGGACTTCTGGGAATTGAAGTCCACACACATCCTAAAACTGCTAAGGTTTATTTATTATTTATTTATTTATTATTAAAATTTATATGCCGCCCTTCTCCCGAAGGACTCGGGGCGGTGTTGTGGCCCCACCCTCTGAGCCTATCCCATCGGAGGAAGAAAGCTCCGAGCATGAGGAAGAGGAGTCAGCCAGGCCTCCCTCTCCAGGCCCCTCCCCTCTGGCACTGTCTCAGGTGCCGGCCAAGGGAGAGGAGATTAGCAGGGAGACAGGTGGCTCGGATGAGAGCGAGGGAGAGACATCATTCCTGGACGCACGCCTCCGAAGGCGTGATAAACGATTGCAGCAGCTCAGGAGGCATGCTAGGGATTAGAACTGAGTCACTGGACCACACCCCAGAGACTATATAATAGAGGGTGGTGGCCAGTGATCCTTGTGACGAACAAAAGTAAACCTTGGATAGTCACTAAAGCGTCGTCCGGAAACTGCTGAGAGGAATATTATTCTGATTGAACTTTTGTACGCTAAGTATCTTATCTTTCTGTTTTGTGGAAATAAATGCACTTGGCAGACGGTGTGTAAATCGCTGCCAAGTTGGAGATAAAGACCTGGGTGTGTGCCAAAGTGTTTCCTTAACCCTCGGCTGGCTGTGTTTGTGTGTGTGTGTGGACGGGGACAGATCAGGCGGCTCACACAACTAAAACAACAACAATCACACCTAAAACCAATATGAAAATTAAAATCTCCAAAATTAAAACCTCGTAGTTGATCAGGGAGTTTGCTGGAACAGCCATGTCTTCAGGCCAGTGCGGAAAGTGCGGAGATCGGGAGCCGTCTGAAGCTCAGTGGGTAACCCATTCCAGAGGGTCGGTGCGGCCACAGAGAACCCCTCATCCTAGGGGTCGCCAGCCGACATTGTCTGGCCGACGGCACCCCGGAGGAAGGCGGCTCTATGTGAACGCACTGGAGGCCAGTAGGAGGTGGTCCTGCAAGTATCCCGGGCCCATGCCATGTAGGGCTTTATAGGTCAATACCAGCACCTTGAAGTGGATCCAGAAGGCCACCAGCAGCCAGTGCAGCTCGCGCAGGAGAGGTGTTGCATGGGAATAATGGGAAGCTCCCGTAACAACCTGCGCGGACGCATTCTGGACCAGCTGGAGCCTCCGGGTGCACCACAAGGGCAGCCCCATGTAGAGGGCATTGCAGTAATCCAACCAAGAGGTTGAGAAACACTGGCCTAAAAACTTTAAAGTCTAATTATTATGAAGGAAAGACTGACATGAAGATTTTGCCAGTTAGTTTTTACCCAGCATAATTTACTGATCAGAGATAGAAGATTTAGCTAACTTTTTGGATTCACTGATTCATCAATTGGTTGAATGAGAAACTATTGACCAGGTTTGTTAATTTTCCTTTTCTTCCTTTCTTGTTCCTCTTTTCCAGTGCCTCATCATGGGTAGGAGATGTTTTGTAAAATGAAATTTAATTATTTTGTTTCCAAAAGGTGGAAAAAACTAGTAGATTGGGTAAAATTGCAAGAGAGGCTGATCTATATCTTCTTTGGAATGGTAACAGAAATGGATATATAGTAGCAATTTCTTAGAAGTAAGCATATTTTTTAATGAATAATTGAAGTGAATTACCAAGTTGGCCTCCTCATCTTTCCTATCACATAATCCTGAGCATTTTAGTTCCCAGAAGAAAGAATTGCTGTATATAACAGGGTAACATCCAGCTGATATTTACAGTCCTTAGATTCCCTCAATGTAGCTACTAATTTCTTTGCTTTAGTTGCACATAATACTAATGGGTATCTATGCCTATCTTAGCATTTGGGACTTTGTAGTCAAATGTGATAATAGAGAGAGACAAGTTGATAGATAGAATCTAAAGAGAATTATGAATGTCACTTTGTTCTCCCAAAGTTCAAATCCTATCTGAAAAGATGATTAGAGTACAATGCATCAAGGAACTTATGTGATGTGGTTCCTGTAACAAGCAGAAAAATGAAAACTGCCCTGGGGAGTTGACTTAATGGAACCGATCAAATAGGAGAGAAACAGTTCAGACTGAGCTTAAACACAAATCCAAAGGAGATGAAAGAAATGGCATGATCAAGGGCAACAATGTAAATCCTTGGGATGCTTGCTTTGACTTCTGAGCATTGTTTTGGAGATATAAAGAAGGGAAAATATACCTTCCAGGCGTATGAACATTATAACTTTAACGTTCCATGTGAAATGTGCCCATCACTCAAATCCTTT